TATCTTAGACTTCATAAAATAGTCGTTTGATCATAAATTCCTTATATCCTGACTAATTTTCGTCTAAATTTCCTGTACAATCCTTTACATGAGCCATTCTTTTCTAAATCCTGGACAGCATTTTGGAGCTATTCGCTGAAATCCGTCTTGAGACGCCGGTAACATGATGGAAATGTTGCTTTTTACCTAAAGTCAGATTCATGTTTGTCGAGATCAGCAGTAGATCCCTTTGGAATGGGATTACCTTTCATTATTAGCTAATTATGCGATTCGTCTTTAGCTTAGCCCATGACCCATGTCCTCAAGAATGGCACCGTGCTATGAGGATCCAGTAAGAGGCCTAGCAATACACACACAACAAATCCTTTATTCGGCTTCTGAAGATGGAAAGTACAGTTTTGCAAAAGTAATTGATCCACCATTTCTACTCACTTTGCTCGTGGCTGGCCAAGAAAAACAGGTCTCTAATGGTGGGTTGGACTTCTGCCTATGCTCCACCGAATGCAAACTGGTCAAAATGGGCAGCCTCTTCTAGTTACAGATACTCACTGCAACCTCTCGGATAAGCTGGCAAAATGGTGTGCACGAAATGTTGAGGTAGAAAAATATGGGATTTTTAAGACTTGTTGGTACAACATTTCTGCGGAGACGTTTATTATTAATAATAGTGTCTAATATAAAGATTTGCAAGTTAATATCATCCCTAAATGGCAATGCTTTTCTGCGGTTTTATTCTACTACGACATTCAAGTTGATATATTCCACGAGACTTCCTCATTCGGCTTAGGTGACACTGAACTGTCAAGATCATCGCATAACCTAGAGGGTTGTTAGAGCCTATAGAATCGAAGCTGCAGAAATATCTTTAGTCACTAATTCATGTGTTTTATACGATTATAGGCGACATGTAGAAAAAACTTTCATTGCATCACTTCTTGCTTAAAGTATTTTTTCAAGAATGAACTTCTGACGCAGCGAGTGACCGTCAAAAGAAGTGATGTACGCGAGCACAGTCCGCTTTCATCTGATTTGAAGAAGTACATTTCATAGATTGCGCCAACTATTAAGTATTCGTAGAATTAATGGACTTTGAGATTGTCCTAGAAACGTCTTCAGTAGACATCGAAGCTTTCCACAACCTTCCATGAAAGCGGATTAGCGTGAGCCGAAAGAAAGAGGCAAGCAACCATTTTTCGGTTCTACCTTGGCCGGCCTGCAACAGTGCATAAAGTAGGGGACCTTGTGAAATCTGGGAAAGTTAATAGTGTTGTTTATTTAACTAAAAACTAGCCATATCATTTTTCACACTATTTCGAAGAAATCGCTCTTTTCTTTAGATTTGTCAGTAATCCAGTTTTCACGTGTCCTAATTTTTTGGTGGGAACATTGACGACCGATGAGAAGATGCGATAAAAGGACAAAAGAGGCTATACGTTTGAATGAAGAAAAACTCGACTTCAAACTGTTCTTTTGATTTAGTATATCTTTTGCGCTATTTCATAAAGTATGCATTCTTGCTCTGCTGAAGTATGTCCCGAACAGTAGAAATAAAAGCTTAGCACCGGTTCATCGGATGGCCGCAGGTCTTCTTTGCACAATCAAGCAATCGTCACTATACCGCAATCCCTCTTCGGCTACGGGTGAGGTCATTTCACGAATTCCTTTCAATCAACTTTCCGTCCGAAATGGAAATTCATGTCACACTCTACGGTTGGAAGTTACTAACCAGATGTAGCATCAGTCAGAAACAAGAGAATGACGCCTCCTGGTGGGAGGCGCCGGGAAAGAAAGGTCAACTGTAAAAAGAAGGAATATGGAATATATTGTATGCAAGAAATGTATGAAATTCAGCAGAAAAATTCGGCAGAAAAAAAATTGTAGGGAAGGCTGCAGGTTGCCAAGTGAAAGCAAACAGCGTGATCAGTGCATAAGCTGGGTCCTACGCCAACAGCAACATTCTTACACTTACACCAGATCCAACAACATTCCTTCAACTGCTTGTTTGTAGGCGTCGCCCCTCAGCAAAAGCGCGACTGTGGCAGAAGAAGCATGTTTCACCTCAGTCACTTGGCCAGCCTAGAGACAAGGAGGGGGAGACGGAACACGATGAACAATGACGGCACTTTCTGTATGGAGTTGAGTCTGACCCGCCAGGTTCAGGATGGGGTTTTCGTGTTTTCGTGGCATAATGTTATAATTTGTCATATCTACTTTAAATATTTCTTAAGAGAACCACAGCTAGTTGGATAACTATTCTAGCTTTCGCGTTATGTTCATACCAATTTGAAATTAGGCCTTTTTAATTTGCCATTTGGAGGCGAAAATGCAAAATTATTTAGTTTCTAAGTGGGTTTTCTGGACTACCGGGAAATCATACATATTCACACAATGACAGTTGAATATTTGCTATAATGCTATAAGTAGACCCGACATTTTCATTAAATTTCGCCGTGTCCTGATACGACTACAGTTTCAACCTCGCCTAAACTGGTCTCATCTGCACCCCCAGCGGGGCTCACACCTTGGTCTTGATAGTGCAAGTATAATCTAGACGAGGTCGACAATGTCTTCAACTTCAGCATGGACGAAAATACTTTTTGGAAATCATTGTAAACATAAATCTATTCATATGCTTGTGGGAAAAATTAATTATCAGTCCTTTATCACCTTGAGCGCAATATGAAAAATATACCTTTTATACAATTATTTAGCATACAGTAAAATGCTAAGGCTGCGGCAAAACTTTTGGAGAATTATGAGTAAAAAGTACGGTTGATTAGCTATTGCCCCAATATTTCCTCTCATATTAGCCCGCTTACACAAGGCAGAGCTTTATAAAACGTCTTAACCACGTTTATCTATTTTGCTATATTTATCTGATTAGTGTCATTATATATATACATTTTATTATCTTATCAAGCTATTTGAAATAATTAGCCAACTTTGCAATAACTTCGCCTTGGCGAAGGCAGAGAAAATTTCTCGACACTTTTGATAAAATCTCTTGATTCAAATTCATTCACTTTGGGCAGAAGGGCACGAAAGAATTCAGTCTCAGTTTAAGCCACTTTGCATGGGCAACTTAATTTATATCCTCCTCCTGTCATTACATCCATTGGATGAAGGCATGCGTATTCCTCATGAAAGCTGTGATAAAAAAGCTATTGGAACAAATCGTTTTGATTGTCTATTCCAGTGGCATTGAAGCATAGCTTACTACAATCGCGTTTTATGGCCTACCGAAGTAGTGGAGGCTGCTTAAAGTCTGAAGAAGCAGTCACAAATATTAAGGATTTGGCATTTCTTGTCAACAACTTAAAACCGGCCATGTCTGATATCCTTGACTTCGCTGTCGAGCTGGTGACTGCCGATGTCCCACAAGATTCGCTCAAATTTATCTTCTGCTGAGAGACTCATAAATTCCATCGCAGGCGTTAAGCTATTTCGTTAAAGGCGATAAGAGGACTAGTAGTTGAATGTTCAGACAAGTAGAGATGATGTTTCCCAAAAGATATTTTCATCCCGTCTAAAGTGGAATACAGTTTTGACCTCGTCTAGGCTTTATCAACACCCCAGCTGGACTCGAACCATGAGAGTGCAGCGCGTGATCTCAACACTTTAACCACTGCGCCACATTGCCACGAGTTCTCATGGGTCAAGGGAAAAATGTGAATTTCATGTAAGGCCTGGCGTTTTTCTATACTACATTGTGTGGTGGGATTGTCGAAAAAAATTCAACTAATATTACGAAGAAAATTTGGGTTTCGAGGAATCTCTTTTTTCATAATTGTTGAGCTTACTTCAATTTCGAGTGAAAGTGTTGGGTGAGGAGATTCGAAGGTCAGTTCCACCAGAAGACGACGCTGTTTCCGAGGCAATCTCCTTCGATTCTGGTGAAAAGGTGCTAAGCTTTCGTCCGTCATATGACGGACATCATCAGACGGACCATCGAATCTCTTCATCCAAAACTTCCACTCGAAATGGAAATAAGCTCAACAAAAATTCAACTGCTTGTCCTCTAATCACCTTAAACGAGATAGAGTGTATTTGGTAGATTATTTTTATAGTTTTAACCCCGTCCAGAGGAAATAAATCTTTGCTAGAATCCGCTCGTAAGTATTTCAAAGCTTCTTTTATTCAATGTTTCAGACAAATAATTGCTAATATCATTTGGAGGTTTGTATGAAAACTTGAGTTTAATTAATTCAGATGGTTAGCAACAGCGTCTCTGGCCCTATTTCCACCGCACCTCTGTTTATTAATCAGGCAAAGTGATTCATTTTAGGTGCAATCCCCTTGCCCAACAATGAGAGCGGTAAAAAGTGTACCTCTCTTAGTTCGAGCATGAGAGTTTACCCATTTACTTCAATGGGTTCAGCTTTCCTCTTTAACGACGCAGAGGAGAATAAGCAGGTCTGGTTGTAGAAGTCGAATATGTCTTTTACAATTCCAACTAAAATATAAATAAGAGTGACCTCCTCTTCTATCTCTCAAAATACGCTCGACAAGAAGTCCAAAAGTAGTAGATACTACTCGGATGAAAATAACTTTTTTGGCGGATATTGAGGCATATATTCATTTTAAATAGGTTCCGGAACTATGAGCAAATGTTGAATAAATCTTCCAATATCCCTAGATCGTATACAGTAATTAAATTAGTTTAATTTTTCCACAATCAGATGATTAGGTCCTACGTTGTTAGCCATTTTTGTATTTAAAACGTATCTACTGTTTAGATTCTCGTCAATCTTCTGCTCACTATACTAAATCCGAGTACAACATGGCGGATGCTGACTGATGTGGAACTTCTTCAGTTGTGGCATGTGGCCGGCGGTTGAGCAGGGACCATGGATAAAATAAATGGGCGAATTCATAATAAGAAGCTAAAGAATTTGGCCATTATAATCCGATCGAGGGATAATACATCAAAAGTAAGACGTATTTTGGGAAAAATAAAGTTATACATTTATCTGGTATAACTCTGAAAGATAGTGTGGAACTTTTATTTGGAATAGGATAGAATTTTACTCTTCCAAATAAGGTTAGCCATTCTCTGGAAAAACCTGTCGAATTAATGCAAGATGTCATGATGATTCCTCAATTTGATCAGAGCGATGATAGAGCCCCTTGGTTAAATGCCTTCCAAAACTGCACAGAGGGGATTAATCTTATATTTAATGAAAAACAACAAAGAAAGTAAGCTGTATAAAGCTTACGTATTTTATGCATATAATTAAGTAAAGTTGCTGAATTTGAGCTATATTTCGTTAAAAATTCTTAGGAATTTTTATAATTAGTTGATCAGTAGATAAATTATAACGGCGATATATTAGTTGGTTTTGGTGTTCAGGGGGCTATTCAGGAATAAGAACTTACCCTGGAGGAGCATTCAGAGACTACACAAGTAATAGTATTGGATATAGCCTCCATTCCAAGACTACTATAAGTAATGAGTAAGTGTTGAAAAGAATGAAATATTTATTCTTTCGCGCTTAATTGACAATACAAACTCTTTACTGAGAAATAAAATTTCAG